TATCGTCCCCATTTTTGCAATTTTCGCAAGGCATGGTTTCTGCCTGGGTAGGGATCAAACCCGTGGCTCAGAGTGAGGTTATGAGTCTACACTCTTAACCACTGCTATCCCTGCCTGCTCGTAACACGTGACATAAGGGTTTTTATCCTAATTCAATATGAATTTCATGTATAGGGGGGTCAAACTATCTCTGAGCGCAAGTCTCTAGACAACTAGAAATAAAGAAAAATAAAATATTGGAAAAATAAAACACTCCAAAGCACAGATGGTCCTTCTCGCCTGTATCTGAGATGCTTCGAATATGTGAGGTATTCCGTGGGGATAGATGCCAACAGACTGGAGCTCACGTGTCATCGATGGCAATTCATAGCGTCTAGTTCTGATCAATTGCGAAAAGCATGACCAAATGGTTAAATCAATTCAAAGACCGGTCATCCTTGATAGGCGACCTAGTACCACTGCTGACGGCTCTTCAGCTGTAACACCCACTTTTCGAAGTACAATCCAAATGAGGATCACACCCGCGCGAAAATGGTTGTGTCTTGCGGTAGAGGTGTTGAAGCTTTTGGCCAGTGCGCTTACAAGAAAAAGCAGTGGGGGAAGAGCCTTCACTGCTCTGCCCGGAAAACCGTTCAGGAAATTCTGACGAAAGATTTCAGTCCATCGTCGCAAGGCGCGTGCGAGGGTGTGCACCTCATCGCAAAACCCTCCTGATATACAGAGGGGGGGGGGCAAAAAAAAGTCACTTTGCCTCATTTTCGAGGCGCTATAAGTTACACTTTATCAAATTCTGATCGGACATTTTTACCACCATATTGAAGAGCATATTAAATACTATCATGACACTCCGCCACAGCCTTCTGGACGAGCGCCATCGAGAGATTCTGGCACGCGACCGCGATGTGGTGCCTGAGATCAGCGAGATAGTCGATTTCTCCGCCACCGTAGACCACCCTATTGAACTCCGCCCGAACTAGGTAATTGAGTGGGTTCAGGTCAGGGGACATACTTCAATATTACATCTTCTTCAGGTACGAAACGCCCTTCCATTCGAAGTAGGCGGGAGTTTTTCCAAAACCCTTCCATGTGGTGGCACCCAAACCTGTAGCAGCACAAGGTCTCCAAGAAGGTACGGGCGACGACATGTAGGGAGGATATTCTTCTCGAGTTGCTTGATGTAACCGCCAGCGCTCACCTTCAGTCCGGGTCTACAAAGAAAATATCGGTCTTCCCATTCCAGGTACCCCGGTCCATACCATCAACTCGCGCCTCGGCGACTACGGTGAAGATGATGTCCTAGACCGTAGCGACGTTGACGAAGCTGCTCGATGTTGGAGGTCTTCCAGATCGAGAGTACTGGTTTCCAGGTGGCTATCCATGAGTGACTCTATACTAGAAGTTTTGCAGCTGTTTGGAGGTAACATGAATTCCG